TGCTTGCTGAAACTGAGGAGGACCTGAAGCGCTTGCTGCTGAGGGTCAGGGACTGTAGCCTTCGATATGGATTCAGGCTCAATGTCAAGAAGACAAAGATTCTCACCACTGGACCAATTGGCAGCATTAGGATGGATGGTGAAGAGACTGAGATTGCTCACAGCTTTAGTCTGCTTGGCTCCACAGTCAATAGTCTTGGCACCAGCAGCCAGAAAATTAGACGTATTGTGATGGGAAAGTCTGCTGTTAGGGACCTCTCCAAAGTACTGAAGAGCAATGGTGTGTCTCTGGAGACTAAGGTGCTTCTGGTACAGGCCATGGTCTTTGCAATCACTTGTTATGTGTCAGAGAGTTGGACAATGACCAGGGAGGATAGGAGAATTGATGCTTTAGAGCTTTGGTGTTGAAGAGTGCTGAGAGTGCCATGGACTGCTAAGAAAACAGATTTAACCTGGAGAAGGTTAAACCGGGCTTCTCCTTGGAGGCAAGGATTCTGAGGCTTCGTCTGACATACTTTGGTCATATTGTAAGGAGGGAGAGGTCCTTGGAGAAGGCCATCATGCTTGGGGTGTTGGAGGGCAGGCACAGTCGGAAGGCCCTCTGGGAGGTGGATTGATTCTTTTCTCCTTTATATGAATTGTTTGGGGTTTTTTTTCTTTTTTTCTTTTGTATGAATTGTATCTTTTTGTCAAAGATTTATTTTTTTCCCCTTTTACTCAGATTTGAGTGAATGTTTACAAATCATACTAATTTTTCATTTAGTCATTCATAATTTATTAATGTAATTGATTAGTTATATTGTCTGATCAAACTGTTCTCAAAATAGGTGTTGTAAATCCATTGATAAGGGAATGTCTTTTCCTTACTATGTTAATGAGACAGTATTAATGTCTGAAGTATGTTTTAAATCAATCTCTTTTTGAGATAGAAAAAGAAGCACAATTGGACAGATGTTATGTACCACGTGATCACCATAAAGCTTCAGATTAGAGACTGAAATGGGACAAGGACTTCCCCCAGTGCAGACTGAAAGAGAAAGCCCTGCCACAGCTGGCATCATGAAGTCAGACGTCCATGCTCCTAAGTTGTGAGATAATAAACTTAAAGCTGCCCCACCTGTCATATTACTGTTAGAGCAGCACTAGATAACCAAGTCACAGACTCTATAAATATTCTAAAGTCTGAGGGCATCTTGAAATGTTTAGAAGAATACAATTTGGTATGGACAAATGCAATGAATCTGTTGTAGAGTTAGTTTTAAGGTGCCAGGAGGATCTGCAGTTGTAATGAGGGGTGGGGTGGGGGAGGCAGGTGTGAAGTGGCCTGTCTGCCACTGGAAAGCTCTCAGGTGTTGGCAGGTCCTGCTGTTGGGCAAAGCAATAAGGCCCCAGAGAAATGGTTGGGAATTGATGGATTAGATACTCACCATTATGCTCTGAGATTCAGTAGCAGTTGCTTGCCAGTGTAAAGTTACAAAGAAATAATGATTGGTTTATAGGTGGTAGCTTGTTCCTGGATTTCAGATAGGTTTTTAAAGAGCACAAGTCAAAGTGACCATGTGTGTGTCCGAGTCAGTCTGTGTCCTGTCAGGAGGCTTTTCTTGGCTGTGTTCTCTACAGAAGTAGTTCACCAGGCACTGCATTTGCAGCACAGCTGGGTTCAAACCCCCAGCCTTGCAGTTAGCTGTGCTTGTGTGCTATTTTGTCTGTTGGAATTCCTAGCTACCCCATATGGCCCTATAGGGTTTCCTAGGCTGTCGTCTTTATGGGAGGAGATCACCAGGTCTATTGGTATCAGATCACCCAGCTCCCTTTTTTAAATTTTTTAAAAATAATTTTAATGAACATTTACAGATTTGGATTTCCATTCATTCAGTGCTGCACTTCTCTCCCCGCCCAGCCCTCTTCCCCCCTCCCCAGTTCGCTCCTCTCTTTGAAAAGTAAAACTCCTTCCCTGGTACACAATCCCCACTGCCCCAAGTACACTCCACTATGCAACCTTAATTGTGGACTCTTGTGATAACCATAAAACCCTATCATACATGGCTTTAAAATTATTCAGTCCCTCATCTGTTTCAGTGCAGTATACACAATGTATCCAGTTTTTCTCAGTCTTACCCCCACCCTGATATCAGTCCCATTTTACAGTTGGCATCATGCAGTATTTGTCCTTTTGTGACTGAGATATTTCACTCAGCATAATGTCCTCCAGGGTCACCAATTTTAAATAATAATGCACGAGTTCCTTGTTTTTTCAATGCAGCGTAGTATTCCGTTGTGTGAATATACTACGGTTTCTCTATCCATTTATTTGTTGATGGGCACCTGGGTTGTTTCCAACTCATTGCTATTGTGAACAAAGCCGCGATAAACATGGGTGTGCATATATCTGCTTGGGTGGCAGTTATGGTCTCTTTGAGGTATGTTCCCAGTAGTGGAATTGCTGGGTCAAATGGTACCTCTATTTGCAACTTTTTGAGAAAGCGCCATACTGCTTTCCACAGGGGTTGCAACATTTTACACTCCCACCAACAGTGAATCAGGGTTTCAGTCTCTCCACAACCTCGCCAGCATTTGTTGCTTGCTGTTCTGTTAAATTTTGCTATTTTGACCGGGGTGAAATGATATCTCATAGTTGTTTTAGTTTGCATCTCTCTTAGAGCTAGGGATTTTGAACATTTCTTCATGTGCTTGTTGGCCATCTGAATGTCTTCTTTGAAGTGGAAGAGCCACTTATCCGGTAGGATGTTCTAAGGGCTTAGATTTCAGCAAAGGTCACGCCTTTCAGCAAAGGTCATGCCTCTCTTTGGGCAAGCTTGGTCCTTTTTGTTACCCAGAAACCTATAGTATTAAAAATCAATTTTTCAATATCTAATTCCATAGGTTAAAGGTTTTGTTTTCTCTATCTATGTGAGAAAGTGTAAAAATCACTGTACTTGCTTAGTGACTGTTGAAAGCTTTGTAAAGTAGTCGATTTCATGGTTTGTAACTGCCATTAATATCACTGATTCTGGGGAGGGGGGAAGAGGGTATTTTAAAATATTGTCTGTGTTTTAAAAAGTTACATTGCTTGTGATGGTTTTGGATTGTTTAAATTTGTATGTTTTAGAAAACTGACTTTTAGAATATTACTCCTTATCTCTTTCTAAAATGTCACATTTATAACAATAATAAAAACATCTCCTGTACAGCTATTGGTCATTAACACCATCTGGTCATAAGTATCTCGTGTGAGATGCAAGTAATGCCAAGTGGCTGCAGTGGTGACAGTTGGACTTTAGGTGTCAGCTGGGCCTTGTGTATTACTGCTTTGACACTAATATAATGTCACTGTCCTCCATTTTCACCTACCACTAATTTTTAGATAAAGACCTAGGCTTTGGAGCCCCGCCATTTCTAATAGGTAAAAAAATGGGCATAGAGTGCATTTATTTACCTGTCCTAAAATATCTTTCAGGAATCGTGCCATCTTCTGTCGTCCTGACTGCCTTCCAGGTGATGTCAAGAGTTTTTCTAACATGGGCTGTAACACATAGTGTCAAAGAGGTAAGTGTGTATGTGAAATAAAACAATACAGAACAATATCAGCATTAGCAAACATTGATTTCTGTTTTTCACATGTGTAATATGGCTAATGACAAAATTCCACATCTTTACAAATATAAACCCAACTAAAAATTTAACACCTGATGACTAAATAGTAGAAAAATATATATACCAAATATACAGCTTTGTGAAAGACTGATTAAATGAAACTCCCAGAACTTTGGTTTCCCTGAGGGTTTGTAAGGTTTGACTGTGACCCACAATTCAGTTCTGTTTTTCTGGGATTATGTTCATGTCAGGAACACTAGACTCTGGAACCCACATGCTTGTAGTTGAGAACATGCTGGTTGAAGCATTGGGGGCCACTGATTTATCCCGCGAGCATCTGACCTTTAAGAGACCAGGAGAAACATATGTTTCCAACCAGCCCACCAGAGCTAATGGAATTTCCCTGTGTGCTGAGCCCAGTGATTCTGGGAGATGACAGATCTGTGGAGGCTTGGCTGTTCCGGAGCCAGCAGGCTCTGGATACGCACTGCAAGAACTGTCCCTTACTGTCAGCATTGGATTATCCAGTGAAACTGTTCACTGTGGAAAAGTAGGTAAGCAGAGTGAGCCCATGCCTGTCTTGTGAGCTGAATCCTCCGCCCCTGGTTACCATGGGTCTGAATCTTCTGTAACTGAGCTTTTCTTTTCCAGTGTGTACATTAGTTTGTATTCCGGTGTGCTTTTTGCTTTTTCAAAGACCTTTGTCTCTTACTTATCACCATGGGAGCTCTAGTGACTTAAGTGATTAGGAATTGCAATGCCAACCCAAAGGTGTGCAGTTCAAATCCACCAGCTGCTCTGCAGGAGAAAGATGGACACTGTCCTCCATTGTGATTTACAGTCTCTGAAAACACACTGGAGGGGTCAGTTATGAGTTGGTTCTGACTCCATGCGGTACTTGGCAACATCACCGTGAGGTCTGGGATCAGTAGCCATGAGGACTCTACATTCTTGGTTTTCTAGTCACAAGGGCCTGTCCACCAGCATTGTTGAATTCTCAGGGGCTCAGGAAATAGGCTTAACGATGTTTTCTTTACCCTCTGTCTAAAGCACCTGTCAACTCAGCAAGCTGAGTAACATTTGTTACTCAGAATTTACTTTTGACAGCCTCATTTGTGTTTTAACTAATGAGTTAGTTTTTTAAAAATTATTTTTATTTCAATGCACTTCTACAGAGATTTTGGAATTCCATTCATTCATTGTTGCACTTTCTTCCCCCATTCGCTCCTCTCCTTGAAAAGCAAAAGAAAAACTTCATTGGTACACAATCCCCCCCGCACACCCCCCAACCCCACTCCCACCCCAAATATTATCCACTCTGCAAGCCTCATTCCGTACTCTTATGATAAACATAATGCTCAACTAATAAGTTTTTAAAACCTTTTTATTGATATGTAATATACATACAGAAAAATGCACATAGCTGATCAGTTTTTAACCAAGATTGACTAAGTTTATTACTTTTGTTACAATCATATGTAATTTGTAAATCCATAGGCTATTGTATTTTTTTTAAGCTTCCTCACTTTTAAGATGTGAATTTTGTATGTAGGAAGAATATAAAACAATGACATACTTTTGTCTTTTGACTACTTGCATTTCCGTAAGCTTTTTTTAAAAGTATAAGGAAATCCCAATAATAGCATTTTGACCTTTGCTCTCCCACTGAATTATCTGTGGAGGAAAGTCAATTTGTGATACTGTGTCTCCTCCCCATTCATTCAGATGTTTCTTCTCTGCAATATATACTGTTCCTTTTTTTGTTTTAGCCAGCAACACATAGGTGCATCACCCAGTAGCCTCAAGTGACCTGAAAATCCTAATAGAATGCCTTTACATTGGTACTTAAATATCTGTGTTGTGTCTAATCATTACCTTGCTGATAGAGGCAAGTATTAATTGTCCAGTGCTGATGGATTATTCATGGCCTCAGCCTCTTTTCAGCTTCAGTGGCCATTCCTTACTTGTCATCACTTCTGACAAAGAATAAGACAGGTAAATAAAAATGATTAAATCTAGAGAGCTCTGGTGGCCTTCTGGCAAGAATCTGTACTGCAATCCCAGAGGAACATGGTTCAAATCCACCAGATGCTCTGCTGGAGAAGGAGGGGCACCTTCCTGTACCAGTGAGATCCAATTTGATGATACATGCACACACAAGTAATTAAAAAAAAAAGTTTAAATCTAAGCAAAACAGTGTTGCTCTTAAAATTGTTGTTAGCAACATTTACTGATATTTACTAGACAGATTTTAAGGCATCTTGAGTAAACAGCTATTAATTATCTCTATCAATGACACAACTTGGCCAAACCTCAACTCAACCAGCTTGGAAGATAGTGTACTTGATTTTGAAGAGGTAGGTCTCACATGAATTATATAGTTGGTATACTGATTATATTTACATATTCAGAATTGTTTCTCTACTGTCAGATCCAATTTTTGCTCATAGCACCATCATTTTCTTAAGATCACCCGGTAGATTGTTATCGCTGTTCTATCACTTTTTTGACCCCCTTCTTTTTATAGGTTGTTATAAATTGCATTGCCCTCAAATCTGTTCCAATTCATAGTGACCCCTTCATTGGGTTTCCAAGGCTGTATTCTCTCGTGGGAGGAGACTGCCCATCTTTCTCCCTAGGAGTGATTGGTGGATTTGAACTGCAAAGCTTACAGTTAGCCTAATCTGTTACACACTAGGGCTGTTTGTATAACGTAACCTCTTTGTATTGTATACTGTAGGTTGTTAACGTAGTTTGTTTTCTCCATCTCCTTTTCTTTGACTCAACTCTTTTGGTGATTGTTTTGATCTTAGCAGTAGATTCCCCACCTACCCAGCTCCAAAGTCTTTGACAGCTGACTTGAAAAGTCTGTTGCTGTGACACTGGAGACCTGTCTGCAGTCCACCACCTGTTCCCCAACCCCTTCTCCTAGCCAAATGCTATTTTCCCCTCTGCCTTAGAGTTTCATATTAGTGATAATTCAGTTTTCTCTGTACAGCATGGCACAAATTCTCTGCTGAATTTCTTCCATTTCCTGAAGCATCTTAAAAAAAATTTTTATTCTTTTATTCAGCTCTGCTTCAATGGTGGGAGCCACATAACTATGAATAAGGAAATTGACCGTAGAACTTCTTCGTATAGCAGTGCCCAAATTCTTTTCATTCTACTGTACTTTCATTTGTTTCTTTGTTCATCCTCTTTGAAGGAGACAGGAAGTCTTCATTCCACTGTTGCATTTGAACTTTTTAAAAAATTATTTTATATTGATTTGCATACAAAATTTATATACATTGTGTTTCATTCATATACATGTTTCACACATTACTTCATTCATACCATGTTTTATAAAATTAATTGCTATTGATCTATGCTCACTATTACCCCATCTCTTCAGTTCCCCACTAGATCTTTCCTAATTCCTTCACCTCCTCTCTACCCTCAATTCTGCAACACTGTGATTCCCTATCCTCAGCTCCCTGCTTTCCCTTTGAACCACTGTACGCCTCTACCTAGTCATCCTTCTATTTTTACAATAATGGACTCATGCAGTATTTGTCCTTATTGACTCAACATAATACTCTTCAGCCTCTCCCATGTTACATAATATTTTTCAAATCATTGCTCCTGAGTACTGCATAGTATTCCATTATGCAGATATTCCACAATCTCTCAATCAATTCATTTGTTGATGGACATTTGAACTCTTGCCTACCCCTCTATTCCTCTATTTTTTTCCTGTTCTTCACCCTAGGTTCTTGATAATTTTATAGGATGAACAGAGAGATAGCCTTTTCATGACCACATTCTATATTTTCCCTGTATTTTAAATATATTTCCTTTTAAGTGATTCTATAGAGCATGCATTTTGACTTGTCCTTTTCATTCCACCCCAGGGAAAAATTAACAAGTCTTCTTTGTCACATAAATGTTTTCCTGTACTTAAAGAACTAAAGTTGATCAGATGTTTTTCTCTTATGCCATGTAAGGATTCACCCAAGCAGCTTCTCTGACACCTTCCTTGGCAGGATTTTAAAGAAAAGAAATGCGACCTGTAGGCTTAAAAGCTCCTTCTTCACTTAATATAGCAAATAACCTTCCTACTTTTTTCCTTTTAAAAAGACTAAATATATATGAGCAAGAAAAGCTACTGACAAAAACAAGGTTAAGAAAGATCAGAGGGGGATATAGGAAGGAGTCAGTGGTGCTGACTTACCTGTCGTCTCCCCACCCATATCCAGACCTGAGCTGACTCCCTCCTCTTTCCTCTACTGGACTGGCCTATACTGCTTCTGTCTTGGGCATCTTAGGGATTTGATACTCTTGCCTTCTATTTAGGTAGGTATCTTTCTCCTCATTGAAGTGAGACAAGATTGGCAGTTTTCAAAATGATCTTCACTGGGAAATGTCGTATCTCTTCTCTGTTCAAAAGCATACACAGTCATAAGACATTCTCCCCTCTGCAAAATTAGCAAAGCCTGGCCTCAGATTTCCGGACATAAAATGGGCTCTTTTTCTTTCCTGCCTCAGCTCTCTCGGAGGAAGCTGCCTCAGGTCCTCTCCTAGGCTCCCATGTGCATCAAACCACAGCCCCCAGACAGCTCCCGGGGGATAGTTGAGGAAGACGCTCCTAAACTCCCACTGTGTCGTTGCATCAGTCTGTCCTGTTGAGGGTTTTCGCCTGCGCTACGCCTTAACCAAGCATAGTCTCCTCCTCAAATGATATGAAATGACCCTTCCCAATGATATGTCCAAACTACGTGAGACAGTCTCACTATCCTTGTTTCAAAGGAGTATTCAGCCTGTACCTCCAGGATAGATTTGTTCTTTTGATTGTCCATAGTGTCTTTAATACTATTCACTAACACTACAGTTCACCAGCATCAAGTCTTCCTTATTCACGGTCCAACTTTTCCATGTGCAGGAAGCAAAATGAGGCAACTGAAAATACCATG